AACAGATTATTGTGATAGTTCGTCAATGACGATTCAGCAGTGGCGTATAAAAGTCAAACTGATTGGGGTAGACGTAAAACAGGGCGTTGGAGCGTCGCTAGATCGTCCATCTGAAGGGGTGTGAGGGGATAAGGAAGATGATCACTTATTTTATCGGGCAATAGGTGGCGCTGTACATGACACACACAAAAAGAAGGCAGCAATGGCACACACTATCTCTGAAATGTGCATCAAATGCCAGTTTTTATGCCTACGTATGCGTGTCTATATGAGCGCGTAGTGACTAATTCTGTCCCAACAAACTGTTACCAGCACAGTCAATTCATGAGTTCAATTAAAAAGCCTTCTGTACTCGTTCTGCGTGGTACCTAGTACCAGTTAAACAAGTCAAGTTTTAAGCTATCTATTCGATAACCATCCACATTGTAGTTAATAATTCAATAAATACTAAAAGTGCTATCGCATATGAGTCCAAATCGCCCACCCCCCCCCCCTCTTACAAAAAACACTGTAGAATGAATACAACATATTTCCAACGCAAAAGGCAAAACAAATTGAGGAGTGGTGTCGGGAATCTGACGAGACCGTTTTTAATACAACTTTAAGATTTCTTATACATACATGTATTATAAACAAAAGTTAATCGTGGGTTAAAAGGAGTTAATCAAACATTGCTTTAAAATTGGACGGGAGAACAATCCAATAAAAAGGGACAATTAAATTGTCATAACTTAACCCTAAAAGGGCCGGGGCGGTATCCACCCCCCCCCCCCTCGATTTTTTTTTTTTTTATTTTTTTTGCGACCCGAGCTGTTATGACTTTTTAGCTGCAAGCCTTGGGCATCTTTTGACACCAAAAATATAAAAATCGGAACAGGGGTTGTCGCGCAGCGAAAAAAGTACCGGCGATACGCGCCGTGAAAACTGAATTTTCCCATATACGTCGTGTGCACAGACCAGAATATCCATTCGTACATATGAATAATTAATTAGCCATAATTCCAAAACCTTTTGACCTATAGTCATGAAATTTCTTGGGTATGTTAATGAAGAGTTGCTTTATGCATGTACCGAGTTTCAAAGTTTTTCGTCACTCGATGGCCGAGATCTTATCCCCCCCCCCGGCTGAGAGATGGTCAAAATAACCCGGCCCTTTTAGGGTCAACCAAACATGTTTAAAATATGCCAAATTATGAGAAGGAAATATTACACTGTATATATTAAATGTGTATCAAATCAAATGAAATGTCTGGGGCCCCCTTCGATTTGAAAGGCAAGAGGATTTGGCTAGCTTTTGTTCAAAGCAACTTCCCCGTGACGAATTATCTAAGCAATAGCTGTCACAATGAATCCGCCATTGAAGGGGGCCTTCATGAGTGCACAGTGAAGGTGTATTCAGACTGGTCTATGAGCTCTGTGCATGAACAAGAGAGGGCTCACTTTGCATTGTTCATAAGATGAAATTGTGAATTTGTCAAATGGGACTTACAAGTAAGCATGTGATAATGCTATCAATCGGTATTTATCAAAACCACTGGTCTAAATGTAAATGAATCGAGATGGAGTCTCGGTAATACATATTATATTTACAATGAACCTAAGCGAATCAAGAAGAAAGACAAGTCCCTAATCTACTGCGTAAATCGTAAGTTACACAACGTCTACATGCAAAAGCACATCCAAATGTAAGTTTAATACGTAGTTTAATATAGTTTAAACGTACAAATTGAACATAAAATTAAAAAAATTCAAACATTCGTGGAAACAATTTGTGGTTGTATTTCCTTTCTTTTTCAGAAAATTTTGATTTGTAAATTTGTTTCATTTTTGTTTCATAGTTCAAATGTTCAATATGGTCGGACAATCCAGGAAAATGATGGAAAATGATGGGAAATTTGAGAGAAAACCAAATTTGAAATCAATTACCACAGTATTTCAAAGAGTATAAGACGCCCTAGGGTAACATCTGCATTTTGTCATATGTGTCTCCCTTGCTCCGTGTACGATCAAATAGGCAACTAGACTTGTTCTTCGTTTTCATCCGTAACCTGCGGGGCTTCATGAGATGACACACAATCGTACGCCGGTGGGGGGTCATCGTTATTTTTGCCAGCATTGGCTTCCAATTCTACATTCCAAAAATGAAGATTGAGAAAAGCTGGATCAGTTATTTAGGCAAGCCCGTTCATTATGATTGTTGGAAACTGGAAAGCATTTCCGTTGACAGGGTTTTAAAATTTGATGCCATCAGATTAGCATATTTACGAGGATAATCAGTTGTAAAACTGTATTCATAAATACCTAAGACAGTTTACCCATTCCTATTGGTTGAGAGCCTGTTACGTGACCGGTCTTAAACGGTTGATAACACATTGACTGGCTTTTCAATTGTCACATGAAATTTTGACGCCTATAAAATCTGGCCCCTTTTAAACTTTTATCGGTTGATGAACATACAGTCTTCAATTAGGCACGCGCAATACTAGCAATGAGTCAGTATTTCAACATGCTAAGAATTAAATTCACACTACACTGACACAGCTGCGTTCTGTGCCACATCGCGCAGTGCGCGTCAAGCACGCGCCAATCTCCATATAAGGAGTTGCTTAGGACTACTCGCTAGAAGCACATACCATAGCATAGCTAGAGGGATATGTTTCTGAAAGACATGAAGTAAAATTCTTGAACACAATCGTTTCCGAAATTTATATTGTTTTACTTGTTTTTATTCTTTGACCAGAAGGGCATTTATCGATGGAAATAAGTTTGTGCTTGGCCGATTTTATACACTATGTTTAAGACGCGAGTCATTATCAGCGTCCAGTATCCAAACCGGTCTTAAACATAGTGTTTCAAACCGGCCAAGCACACATGTATTCCCTTGTTAACCGATGTATTAAAGACATAAGAGGCGAAAGTGGGTCGATTTTGGTGGCCAGGATGGCCCTTCTTACCAACTGCTTGCACGTAGGTTGGAGGCGGGTCGTACGAAGGGTTGTATACTTCAACTGTCCTGATTTAACGAGAGTAAAAAACGACAAAATGCTCAAGTATCTGGACCCTAAAGTATCTGGACCCATCAATCAAAATAAAAAAAGCCAACCAAAGCAAGCACCCCTTCCACCCATTCATCATATCAGACCAGAGGCTTTCTAGTGCAGATGTCTTACCACTCGACCACCGAGCTAACGGGATCGGTTGGCTGGTTTGAATATGATGTACATAGCAGCGGGTACCGCATAAACTATTATAAGATGGAATTTTTGCGTCGGGGTCATATAAATCAAATTAGGTTTTATCATATCACCCCGTTAGCTCGGTGGTCGAGTGGTAAGACATGTGTCGCGGACCCCCACCTTGTGGTTCTATAGCATGTAATGCTAAACCCGGAACCAGACTTTAAACGCATTTCTCAATTCGTGGTTTCATCACTGGTTTCGGGAGATTTCTTATTAAGCTCTTGGTGGAACGATGGCTAAATTTATGTCCCGATTTCACACACAAAAAATGGATATGGACGGGCCCACCCTTAAATAATCAGAAACAGTTTTGTATAATGCAAATAGGTTTTTACGTTGTCAGTGATCAGCGAACAACAAAATCTAGACCCGCAGCCAAACCAGTTATCAGACCTAAGTTTCACATCTTCTTATCTGTGATGCAATGGAAACTGTTGGTTGGGTAAAATACAGCATACTTTATGTCTTTGGATATTTGTAATAGACTGGTGCCTTGTATTCCTTCGTCCATTAATGCGCATAGCAGCCGAGTTCGCGTTTCACGCGAGTTTTTTAAGGGTCCTACTAAAGCGCGTCAACAAGCGTCAACAAGCGCAAACAAGCCTCAACGGTCGTCAACGAGCGTCAACAAATTTTGTATAGGCTTTTGAATATTAAAAACAGCTTTATATGGTAGAAAAAGCAATAAAGAACATCTTTTGCATATCAATTAAAGTTAGAATTATTCTAAAACTTGTTTTTTTTAACGCGAAATGTACGACGAATTTGTCGATAAAAGTTGGCCGCCATCTTGTTTATGTAAGCTAGCCGTACTACGCATGCGTGAAGTGTACAGAGCCATGCGTGAAGTGTACCATAGCCCGAATTTAAAATTAAAAAACAAAAGAAAATGACTTTCTCTCTTATGTTTGTTGCTTTTTCTTGTATTTATTGTATAGTGTTCAAATATTTGTGGCTTGAATTGACTCGAGCTAAATACTTGACTCGACTCGACTCGACTCGACCACACACTGTGACTCGACTCGACCTTGTTGACCTAATGACTCGACGCGACTCGAGTCACTTCTTTAAAATGACTCGACTCGACTCGAGTCACAAAAATCAGTGACTCGTTACAACTCTGGCTCGCACACAACTCTTGGAAACAATTTCCAAAAAGAACACCACCCTTTTCCGATTAAACCAAACCGTATTCTGTGTCACGTTTTAATCAATACACTAATTATCAAGTATTGTTCGTGTGGTAGACACTGTACCTGTTTGAAATAATCTTAACTTTTGTCCATGCGAATAAAATGGCATTGCATTACTTACGTATTTGGTTGTGGTGCAGTCCTCCGCACTTCATCTATAACACAAGGACAGATAAAAGGTTCCAATAACAATTTGGATTCACATAGATGCGTGTGAGCCAGAATGTGTTTACCTTTTTTCGAGGGGAGGGGGCTCTTTTATCTGTTGGAAGTTGTGTACTGGCTTAGTTTTCTGCACCATTTACATTGGAAAGATTCATTTTTAACTTTTGATATCTCTTTCGAATAGGGAAACACTCCCCGACTATTGTTTTATTCCGAGTCACATTTTTCATGCATAATGATTCCATGAAAAAAATACTAAAACAAAGCGATATATTTCAATAATGGTCAGTACATGTTCCGTTTTTTATTGCACTTCAATGATTTTACGACTTTGAAATGAATTTTTCCTTTCATTTGACTTACCTTGAGGTTTACCGCTGCAGCACTTGCAGATGTAACACATTGCAATGGTCACTAGCAGAATAATGGTCCCAGCCACGCACACAGCTATGATCACCACTTGGTTGCTGTTAGCATCACCTGTGGGACGGGTGGGCTGTGGAGTCGGTGTAACTTTGGTACATGGAAACAGTTTGTGAATGAAAGTGGAGAGAATGAGTAGATTTAATGTGACTGTAGGGCCATTCCATTATTGTGGCATCCAAAGGTGTAACACGGTTGAGTCCCTGCTACTACTGATCGGTGTAATTTGCCATAAAAGTATCAGTACAATTGACTTCAAAGTACATTACAGACACACTCTCGCAAAATGGGGTCCGGGTGCTGTCTATACAAAAACCTCGTTGGCTCGGGGTTTTGTACGTAAAACCTTATCAGTCAGCCGATCACGCTCAATTGACTTCGGCCAAACCGCAGTCCCATCATAAGAAATAAGTTAACAATGTTATCCGGACCATTTTTTCCGAGAGTGTGTCTGTAATGGTTGATGGGCTTTTAAAAAGAACTTTTGCAAATGGGAAAGACACTTGTGAAAAATCCAATCAGTTTGAATATGCTTCATGAATTTCTGAATAAACGAGCACATTTTTAACAGTATTTAATAATTATTATTTTTTTGGTGTGGTGGTGGTGGTGGGGGGTTGGCTGGCTGGGGGGGGGGGTGCCAGACAGAAGATATATCAGAATGGCGCAACAAGACGGACAGCGGGCGCAATAATTTGATTAGGGTTTCAAACATTTCTACGCGTCCGAGTCGTTAATTTGCATAAAAAGTGCCCCCACAATTTTTTTGTAAAAAACGAGACCGTCTAGTTTAAAAATCGGTGGAAGCGTGCGAATATAGCCGAGGATCATCTCCTTAGCTTTCGGGCTATTATCTAAGAGCAGATTTGATAAAATTAGGGTCAAAAAATGGGTCCTATTTGCAAAAGAAAATGTAGGGATGCCACTGGTACCTTTGGCAGTATGCAGGCTCAGCATTACTGGCAGGCTTCAAGATGGGCTTTTAAAAAGAACTTTTGCAAATGGGAAAGACACTTTGGAAAAATCCAATCAGTTTGAATATGCTTCATGAATTTCTGAATAAACGAGCACATTTTTAACAGTATTTAATTACTATTATTTTTTGGTGTGGTGGTGGTGGTGGGGGGTGGCTGGCTGGGGGGGGGGGGGGTGCCAGACAGAAGATATATCAGAATGGCGCAATAAGACCGACAGCGGGCGCAATAATTTTGATTAGGATTTCAAAAATTTCTACGCGTCCGAGTCGTTAATTTGCATAAAAAGTGCCCTACAATTTTTTGTAAAAAACGAGACCGTCTAGTTTAAAAATCGGTGGAATCGTGCGAATATAGCTGAAGATCATCTCCCTAGTTTTTGGGCTATTATCTAAGAGCAGATTTGATAAAATTAGGGTCCAAAAATGGGTCCTATTTGCAGGAGAAAATGTAGGGATGCCACTGGTAACTTTGGCAGTATGCAGGCTCAGCATTACCGGCAGGCTTCAAGCATTACGGACACACTCTCGCATAATGTGGTCCGGGTGCTTTCTATACAAAAACCTCGTTGGCTCGGGGTTTTGTACGTAAAACCTTATCAGTCAGCCGATCACGCTCAATTGACTTCAGCCAAACCGCAGTCCCATCATAAGAAATAAGTTAACAATGTTATCCAGACCATTTTTTCAGAGAGTGTGTCTGTAATGGTTGATGGGCTTTTAAAAAGAACTTTTGCAAATGGGAAAGACACTTTGGAAAAATCCAATCAGTTTGAATATGCTTCATGAATTTCTGAATAAACGAGCACATTTTTAACAGTATTTAATTACTATTATTTTTTTGGTGTGGTGGTGGTGGTGGGGGGGGGGGCTGGCTGGGGGGGGGGGGTGCCAGACAGAAGATATATCAGAATGGCGCAATAAGACCGACAGCGGGCGCAATAATTTTGATTAGGGTTTCAAAAATTTCTAGGCGTCCGAGTCGTTAATTTGCACAAAAAGTGCCCCCACAATTTTTTGTAAAAAACGAGACCGTCTAGTTTTAAAATCGGTGGAATCGTGCGAATATAGCCGAGGATCATCTCCCTAGCTTTTGGGCTATTATCTAAGAGCAGATTTGATCAAATTAGGGTCCAAAAATGGGTCCTATTTGCAGGAGAAAATGTAGGGATGCCACTGGTAACTTTGGCAGTATGCAGGCTCAGCATTACCGGCAGGCTTCAAGCATTACGGACACACTCTCGCAAAATGTGGTCCGGGTGCTTTCTATACAAAAACCTCGTTGGCTCGGGGTTTTGTACGTAAAACCTTATCAGTCAGCCGATCACGCTCAATTGACTTCGGCCAAACCGCAGTCCCATCATTAGAAATAAGTTAACAATGTTATCCGGACCATTTTTTCCGAGAGTGTGTCTGTAATGTAATTATTTATTTGTTTCTCAGGTAAACTTTGCTGCACATAATCACTCTTGGTGGAAGAAAATATAAAAGAATTTGTTCTGCAAATAAGCATTGGTTTTTATACATATTGCCAATTGAGGACTGTTCTCACTTGTGTAGACCTACATGTCCGCGATTAGAAAAGAAGTTTTATGGTTTTCCCAATAGACATGTGTACACAAACGCACATCATAACTTACCAATCGTAACATGAGACGAGTAACCGCACACGTCGTCCCGACAGTATAGACAGTGGAAGTGGTCTGTGGGATACGGGCTGGAGTACAGGAACTCCCCGTCATGCTGAATGCAGTCCAGGTCTGGCCTCAGACTCACCCATTCCCCTTGGGCTTCGTCATATACCTCAAGTCGTACGCAGATTCCGGCGTCGTCGTCCTGTGGTATACCGGTGATGACAAACTTACATTGTGCCTGGATGTATGACACAGTTATACCTGAGAGAGGATGCAATTATTATAAAGACGTTACTTTGAACATGTATTAGTCTACATCTATTGACATTCTTACGGTACAGTGTACTAACGTTATTATATTATTCTCAGTAATTATTTCTAAAAGGGACCCAATGAAATTCTACGTCTTAGTCTACGCGAAGGTTTCCCTAAGGTACCATTTTCTGTAGTAATAATGACTTCTTACATTATTTGCTTAAAAGTGTTGTGTCTGAAATTTGGATAAAAGAGCATACTCGCACACAAACAGGTCAAGCACTGAGATCTACATTATACACTTACCCATTTCATCCGGATCTCCAGCTGCAACGTCACAAAATGGAAGAAAAAAATGTAAGTAAGCTCGAAGGTCAGTAGCAGATTGCATTCGTTTATAGCTGATGGCAAGAAGTTTGGTACATTCGAACAAATAACGTTTGGGACGGGGGGTGCGTGTCCTCACTCAAACTGACCATAGGGACCCGGCACTGTTCAAACATTGTGTGCGTATACACGTCACATGTATTAACGGAGATTGGTTGGTTGGTTGGTTGGTGGGTTGGTTTGTTGGTGGGCTGATGGGTTGGTTGGTTAGTTGATTGGTGGGTTGGTGGGTTGGTGGGTTGGTGAGTTGGTGGGTGGGTAGTTGGGTTTGTTTTCGTTGCTGCTGCTGCTGCTGCTGCTGCTGCTGCTGCTGCTGCTGCTGCTGCTGCTGCTGCTGCTGCTGCTGCTGCTGCTGCTGCTGCTGCTGCTTGCTGCTGCTGCTGCTGCTGCTTGCTGCTGCTGCTGCTGCTGCTTGCTGCTGCTGCTGCTGCTGCTGCTGCTGCTGCTGCTGCTGCTGCTGCTGCTGCTGCTGCTGCTGCTGCTGCTGTTGCTGCTGTTGCTGCTGTTGCTGCTGTTGTTGCTGTTGTTGCTGTTGTTGTTGTTGTTGTTTGCATTTATTTATTTGAAGTCTCTACGGGTATATAATAAATAATACCAGGACATCAAGAATATGTTTCAATGTCTCAAAATTTATGTGAACACTGTAATTTTAAAACACATCCGGATGCCAGGTCTTTTATGATAACATTAAAAGCTACCAGTGACTTTTCCCATTGTGGACTTGTGGCTACTCACGGTTTGTGCGCACGGTCAGAGTCGCATAAGGACTGGAGCCATGTTTGTTAGTTGCATACACTGCTACTTGGTAGAGAGCGTCCGGTTGGAGGAAAAGGTAATATGCCCGAAGATCATCAGGCCCGTTTGAGATCCAGGCAAACGGATTGAACTCATCAGGAATCTTGCGAATGTTGGAAAAAAAATTCTCTAACTTCTCGCCACCGTCGTATCCCGACTCCCATTTGACCCAGATATAGGAGTATGTTACGACCCTCACCTGAAGTCCCTTTGGAGGCTCTGGATTTCCTAGATTTACACATAAACAAGAATACAAAATGAGTCTTACCTTCGGTAAAATATTATACGAACATTTTCTTGTCATGCAATTTCGTCTTTTCTTAATTCTAACACCTCAAACAATTAAAAGGGTCATTCGATAAAATTGTTTAATGCAATTCGTGTGTCCCAATTTCGTTTTGCCATGTTAAGGGTATTTTGGTGCCTTTTTGATGTTTATGCTAATGCAAATGTCAATATTGACAAACAAATGTGTGATGTCATTTCAGGCAGAAACCTCTGTTACAGCTATTTCAGTAATAAAAAGTGCCGGAATTTTTGATATTTGGATTTTGGAAATGTTCTTTCTGTCGGTGATTCGTCGTATTGTCTGTCTGTACACGGCAGCAGTTAGACAAGGAGCAAGCATTTCTCAGATATATTTTCAATGAGAAATTTGTGGGTTTCACAATTTGAACAGAAAAACACCTTAACTGAACGGTGTTTTCCTAAAATGACATTACAGCACCTGCATGCTTTTTTTTAACATTGAAAGAATAAAAAAGGTTTTTAATAAATTAATCAAAAGGAGTGTCAAATAATTTTTATAAGAGGTGTAGAAAATTCCTAAGTAAACTTCATCTCGTCGACCCTCGAAAGAAAAAGTTAGAAACCTAACCTGATAAAGTTTCAGCTCAGTGGATATTGTACTTTTCAAGAAAATAATGGGTAACCATGAGCAACTTTTTGGCCACGAAACGCAAATTTCGTCATCATGCGCTTTATTTCCCGAAATCAGTCCAATTAATCGTTTGTTCACTACTCCTTTTATTCCAAGAAAGATTTTTGATAATAATTCTATTGGTCACTTTTTGAGTAAATTCCAGCCGTCCTATACCTTAAAAAATAGTAGACAAAACTAGCAGTTCAATTAACGAGTCATTTACAAATACAATGTACAATATTATAGCCGATTAAACCGCGGGTTCCTAAACACAAGGATGAACGACTGTTCTGAGCTCTAGTACAAAATTCACTGAACGGACTTACCTCAAATGGTTGGACGCGTGATAACGGGTTGGCGTGTTAATCGCGAATGTTCGAGATGTGCCATTATGTCATTTTGTGCCATTGATAGTGTTGACAAGGTTTTCTGGTATCGGAAAATGACCCAGAGAATGGTTATTTTCATCTGAACAGTGTCACATTGGCCCTTAAAACTATCGAGTCAAGTAGGACCTAGAGACCGGTCAACATCTGACACTGGCCTTTTGAGATTGCAAAGGAGAGGGATTATAGCAAATTGTTCGGGTAGTTTGAAATCTGAAATGCAAGAACGGGACTGTTTGTTGTTGTTTTTTGGCAGTAGAGGCACTTTTAGTGAGATATGAAAAAAATTTAACCAACGCGGATTTCAAAATGTTATCCAAAACGGCGAATGATACCTTTAAGGATCAGGAATACGTATTGAAATGTGAGAACTTTACTTTTAAACAAGCTCCCTCCACGTACAAAATGACCAGTTCGAGCACTGTGTGATGCTAAATCTTCTCTCCAAAATGTCCTCGGAAAACAAGAATAAGTCTAGCCGAACACGATTCAGATATGTACCTGTTTCTTTCAGCTGTATTTCATGCTCGTCAAATGTACCGATGCTGCTGGCAGCCCTACACCTGTACATGCCATAATCCGTGCTGGTATCCACTGCAGCGAAGACCACTTGACTAATGACACGATATCCAACCGCCCCATCTCCGGATATGGTATCTTCAAGTAAAATCCGGTCAGGTATTGTGTCGTTGGTTATGATGGTGTCGTTTGGACCATACCAAGTGACATTGGGGAGGGGATTGCCTTGGATGATGCATTCTAAGGTTGCTGTGTAGTTGTCGTTCGCACCAATCCACGTTCTATCCTTATTGCTGATATCAGGGCCAACTGTGACAAACATAAGGTGGAAAATAAGACAATTTTGTCCACGATTGGGTAAAAGTACCCAGTTGGAAAAAGTTGAAAACTAATAGGGTTCTTCTCAAAGTATAAACGGAGCACGTTATCAGACTTCCAAAATAGAGGGATCTCATACTCATCCGTATGTGAGTACTTAACACTGTACAAGGTGAGTCAAAAAGAAAGTTACCCAAATTATTGATTTTCTTTTTTGTTAAAAAGCAATCGCATTCGATTGCTGATCTAAAAAGAGCATCTTCTCCACTCATCTAAATAAAGAAAAATACTGAAATTGATCCATGCTAAAGGAGTTATGAACGTTTTACTAAAATAACCAATTTGTATGGCTGTCCACGGCATGCCTTTAGAAGCTATTGAGCTAGGTGAGTATTACAGATTAAACGACCACGTTTCATTGTACTCAATTCGGTTCGTAGAACGGTCAATGATCAGTGGTAAATGCCGAGTTGTGTTATCTTTTTTTTATTGAAATAAACATAACTTGAGAATAGAGTATGCAAATTACGTGAAATTTTCACAGTGAAAAGCCAATAAGATGTACTTTATCACTATTTGTGTGGGGTGAAATGGAGCTCGTCAAATATTTTAACAATATTTTTCAAATTGGGTAACCACTGGCACCTTGCAAATGGTCTCGTATCCCTAAAAGGACAAGTTGTTATGCTTGCGATTTCAATAAATATAGACAAAACTAAACATCTATAGGTCTAGAATAGCGGTATCAAATCAACTTCCCACAATTTTAGGCGGATAGTTGTGGATTTGGTGAAGAGATGGTTGTATACTCACAGAAGACTACATTAACAGTCCAATCGGACAATTTATTCGGGTTCCGATCGTCTGACCATATACTATTCCCAGCACATCGGTACCAGCCAGACTGGTTCCGGAACACGCCCTTCAAGGTCAAGTCGGTGTTGTCCGTAGTGTACGTTGGCTCGGTGATAGTGGTCGATATTTCCCGATCCAGACTGTGCCGCCACTCAATCCATCCCGAAAGGCCGATGTCGAAGGCACAGGTGAGCGTGACATCATCCCCCTTCAGAACAGGTCCCGATGGGGTCTTGGTCACAAAAAGCTCCCAAACTGCCCAAGTTAGATAAAAACATCAAAATCGCAATCAAGTCTCACAGGAATCTTTATCGAAAAATCCTTTAATATCATCTTAGTTTTCAATAGGTTTTTCGTCGTATCTTACAGGATACTGTAGACGTTATGTATAGAGGAGGGCAATGCCTTTGTTTCGCCTTGATATGCATGAGTCTTTTGTACATTCCTCGAATATAGAATAACAAAGGATGTCCTCTACCAATAAGGTATGTAGAGGTGGTCCTAGTGACTATACTTACCATAAGCAACGTAAGAATGCCGACCGCACAGTTTGTCGCGGCAGAGGTAACATCGCATGTTGTCAAAATACGGGCCGTCGGCGAAGTATTCGAACTCGCCGTCACTCTGAATGCAGTCCAGTTCTGGCCTCAGACTAACATCAAACACGTTTTCCAGGTCCCGTCCCGCTAGTCGTAGGCAGGCTCTGTTGTCTTTGTCAGCTCTGGGTATGCCGGTGACGATAATTCTCCCTTTTGACTTGGTATATGACACTGTTATACCTGAGGGCGATCGAAAGGCAAATGATTGTAATTGCAAATGGTCATTCTATAAATTTTGGCGTCCCTTTTTTCTCCCGTCATTGTAACATGAGAAACCTACGCTTTCATAATTCTGACGCACTCCCTGGGCAGATGACCTTAAAGAGTGATAACATATTTCAACCTACCTAGCAAACATTTTTGTTTATTAACAACTTTAGTTTATTTTAATCATTAGCAGCTGTTAATTTAAAATGTATTAAATTTATTAAACTTTCAAGCGACGTCATGTGACCCATGATGACGTCATGATGACGTAATTGCACAAAACCACATCTGCAGTGGATTGGACATTCATGTATTGACAAATGAAGTTCATATACGTTTCCATTTTTCCAAACACTTCCGGAGAAGGATTTGCTGGGAATCTGCTGAGAAGAACAAAAATAGTAAACTCTTACAAAATCAATAGGTGCTGGGCTCAAGGCCCAACACCTAACTATACTTGTGTGTGTGGAAAAACGCGGGGCTATTTTGGCAATGTTTTCGTGACATGTAGATGGGATGTAGATTTACATGCACATACACATGTTTCATGCAGGTGGCAGATCGGATTTGTAGTTTCATCAATATTGAACTGAGTACAAATTCATATTACTCATTTACTCGTATTTTAAAAATTATTTAGGGTTAGGATGGAGGATCGAGGGTGGAGGATGGAGAATGGAAGATGGAGGATGAAGGATGGAGGATGGAGGATGGAGGATGGAGGATGGAGGATGGAGGATGGAGGATGGAGGATGGAGGATGGAGGATGGAGGATGGAGGATGGAGGATGGAGGATGGAGGATGGAGGATGGAGGATGGAGGATGGAGGATGGAGGATGGAGGATGGAGGATGGAGGATGGAGGATGGAGGATGGAGGATGGAGGATGGAGGATGGAGGATGGAGGCTGGAGGCTGGAGGCTGGAGGCTGGAGGCTGGAGGCTGGAGGCTGGAGGCTGGAGGCTGGAGGCTGGAGGCTGGAGGCTGGAGGCTGGAGGCTGGAGGCTGGAGGCTGGAGGCTGGAGGCTGGAGGCTGGAGGCTGGAGGCTGGAGGCTGGAGGCTGGAGGCTGGAGGCTGGAGGCTGGAGGCTGGAGGCTGGAGGCTGGAGGCTGGAGGCTGGAGGCTGGAGGCTCGAGGCTGGAGGCTGGAGGCTGGAGGCTGGAGGCTGGAGGCTGGAGGCTGGAGGCTGGAGGCTGGAGGATGGAGGATGGAGGATGGAGGATGGAGGATGGAGGCTGGAGGCTGGAGGATGGAGGATGGAGGCTGGAGGCTGGAGGCTGGAGGATGGAGGATGGAGGATGGAGGATGGAGTATAGAGGCTGGAGGCTGGAGGCTGGAGGCTGGAGGATGGAGGATGGAGGATGGAGGATGGAGGATGGAGGATGGTGGATGGGGGATGGAGGATGGAGGATGGAGGATGGAGGATGGTGGATGGAGGATGGAGGATGGAGGATGGAGGATGGAGGTGGAGGATGGAGGATGGAGGATGGAGGATGGAGGATGGAGGCTGGAGGCTGGAGGCTGGAGGCTGGAGGCTGGAGGCTGGAGGCTGGAGGCTGGAGGCTGGAGGCTGGAGGCTGGAGGCTGGAGGCTGGAGGCTGGAGGCTGGAGGCTGGAGGCTGGAGGCTGGAGGCTGGAGGCTGGAGGCTGGAGGCTGGAGGCTGGAGGCTGGAGGCTGGAGGCTGGAGGCTGGAGGCTGGAGGCTGGAGGCTGGAGGCTGGAGGCTGGAGGATGGAGGATGGAGGATGGAGGATGGAGGATGGAGGATGGAGGATGGAGGATGGAGGATGGAGGATGGAGGATGGAGGATGGAGGATGGAGGATGGAGGATGGAGGATGGAGGATGGAGGATGGAGGATGGAGGATGGAGGATGGAGGATGGTGGATGGTGGATGGTGGATGGTGGATGGTGGATGGAGGATGGAGGATGGAGGATGGAGGATGGAGGATGGAGGATGGAGGATGGAGGATGGAGGATGGAGGATGGAGGATGGAGGATGGAGGATGGAGGATGGAGGATGGAGGATGGAGGATGGAGGATGGAGGATGGAGGATGGAGGATGGAGGATGGAGGATGGAGGATGGAGGATGGAGGATGGAGGATGGAGGATGGAGGATGGAGGATGGAGGATGGAGGATGGAGGATGGAGGATGGAGGATGGAGGATGGAGGATGGAGGATGGAGGATGGAGGATGGAGGATGGAGGATGGAGGATGGAGGATGGAGGATGGAGGATGGAGGATGGAGGATGGAGGATGGAGGATGGAGGATGGAGGATGGAGGATGGAGGATGGAGGATGGAGGATGGAGGATGGAGGATGGAGGATGGAGGATGGAGGATGGAGGATGGAGGATGGAGGATGGAGGATGGAGGATGGAGGATGGAGGATGGAGGATGGAGGATGGAGGATGGAGGATGGAGGATGGAGGATGGAGGATGGAGGATGGAGGATGGAGGATGGAGGATGGAGGATGGAGGATGGAGGATGGAGGATGGAGGATGGAGGATGGAGGATGGAGGATGGAGGATGGAGGATGGAGGATGGAGTATAGAGGCTGGAGGATGGAGGATGGAGTATAGAGGCTGGAGGATGGAGGATGGTGGATGGAGGATGGAGGATGGAGGATGGAGGATGGAGGATGGAGGATGAAGGATGGAGGCTGGAGGATGGTGGATGGAGGATGGAGGATGGAGGATGGAGGATGGAGGATGGAGGATGGAGGATGGAGGATGGAGGATGAAGGATGGAGGATGAAGGATGGGGAATGGAAGGTGGAGGATGGAGAATGAGGAATGGAGGATAGAAGAAGGGTGAAAGATGGAGAATGGAGGAAGGAGGAAGGAGGATGGAGGATGGCGGGTGGTAAATGGAAAACAGAGGATGGAGAATCGAAAATGGAGAATGACAGGTGGAGGATGAAGAATGGAGGAGGGAGAATAAAGGATAGAGGACGGACGAGGAGGTCAAGGAAGGGTGTTTGGGCAAGTACAGCTAAAAACAAATCAAAACAGGTGAAAGAGATACATTGAAAAAAACTTACCTAAGTCACTCGGTGAAGTGGCTAATATATAACAAAAAAAGAAAAGCGGGAAATGTAAAGACTGAAACATTGTCGAATGAAGTCCACAAATTAATATGAGTTAAAACACAATTCCGGTGTCGTAGGTGTGGTTAAGTTATACCAACAATCATTCTTTCGTCATCGTCTTTCCCACTAAACAAAAGAACTAAAACGACCATTACCAGGCGTTTGTGTGCTACTCTAAATCATTCCGAACCAAATACTCGGTTTTAAATCCTGCAACGAAGCAATTGCTGACTGAAATTCTTGAAAATTGACTATAGGGCCTGATAGCGTGAGTCAATTCATCCATCAAGATCTCACGCATAACGGCAACATTGATATCGATACTTACGCGTCGTGCGGACGTCCAGAGTCGTGTTTGGACTGGGGCCGAGTATGTTCCTGGCATACCCTGTTATTTGGTAAAGAGTGTCCGGCTGGAGGTCAGTATACGCCCAATACCGCTCCCGTGGGCCAAGTTGGATCCAGTTTGATGCATTGAAATCTCCCGGAATCTTGCGAATGTTCATGTAATAGGACTCCAATTCCTCACCCCCGTCATAGCCTGGCTCCCAGTTGAACACGATGGTATCCTCAGTTAGTGCGCCGTCGTTAGATATTTTGAGGTCCTTTGGCGCCTCAGGCGGTCCTGAAAAAACAAATTTTAAATTTTAAATAAAAAAGGAAAGATCCGGGGAGGAACAAAGACGTCGTTTTCGACTGAAAAACCAAACAAAAAGATGAGTAATGGCCACTAAAGAGTCATGAATTAATTGTTGAAAGGAAAAGATAAGGGGAAGAGAGCGCCCCTTTTATGAAATGGTGTATAGCCTTCCTCCATCCGGGTGTTTGAAATTGACACGTACACAAAAGCAAAATCTTTGACAAAGTACTAAACAGTTTCCTCAATGTTTGAATCAAAACTCTTTTTTATCCAACCGGTTTTGTTTTCTTGAAAAAGGGTTTGTGCGATTATTTGATAGCTTTTCGTGCAGTTCCGCTTTGCTTTGTGAATCCGCATAGGACACTCATTGCCCCTATTTATTAAATCATCTATCTTCAAGACTTAAATAGCAAATGCCGACAACGGAACATTGTAACTGAATGTACCTGTTTCTTTCAACTCGATGTCATGGTCGACAAATGTACCGATGCCGTTGGCAGCCCTACACCTGTACATCCCATAATCAGCGCTGGAATTCACTGGATTGATTGTCAGCTTATTGTGGACACTATATCCAATAGGGGAATAGAAATCAATTTCTTCGAGTGAGACTCGGTCGGGGTCCGTGTCTTCGTTTATATTGGCGCCGTTTGGACCGTACCAAGTGACTGCAGGGCGAGGATCGCTTCGGACGATGCATTCTAAGGTCGTCGTGTAGTTGTTGTTGGCACCAATCCACTTCCTATCTTTGTTCATAATGACCGGGCGATCTGGCAAAGTATAAAGATCGAGATAAAACATCATTCCCAGTTCTCAAAGACACACTAACTTTAAAAAAAAAAAATTCAATTAAGACAAAGAATTTATACTTGCTTTCACAAATGAAATGTGAATTTGTTTGTGTCCACCAGTTGTAGTTAAGACTGAGTACAAACAACGATCGAGGGACCAATGAATTTGAGAAAGACGTACATCACATGAATCTAGATGAAGCTCATTTCTTTGTTTTTAATAGCCACCAGTTCACGAATGTGTTACCGATATTGCTAACAAAATAAGGACGAATGTTGTGTATAACCTGTGTATAATCAGACCGGGCATGTAGAGTGTATGAGTGTTTTGTGTGTACTCACAGATAAGCGATAAACCACGCCAACCAGAAAATGTAGTGGGATTCCAATAGGCTGGTGACCAGGAGGTGCTTCCTACACACCGGTAACTGCCGGCCTGGTTCCCAGACAACCCCGTAAGGGTTAAAGTGTGGCTGCCTGTTACGTATGTCGGTTCGATGACAGTGGTGGTTTCGCCCTCAGAAAGAAGGTGCTGCCACTCAATCCACACAAAAATATCTGGGTTGCTGGAGACAATGGCGCATGTGAAAGTGACGTCACTGCCCTCCAGGATGTCGCCCCGTGGAATTTTGGTCACTGAGAGGCTCCAATCTGTGTGAGAAACACAAACAATAATTTACATGGTCTCTCACTATAACGGTGTCAATACGTTAGTTCAATGTTTGATATTTGATATTCACGTCTGTATTTGGGGTAATGACCACAATATTTCGGATCTTCGTTTCTATTCAAACGTTGCCGAGCCTTATCTTGAGTTGCGCCCTTTCGTGGCACAATCCTAAGATCAATATTAAATTTTGAGATATTTCTCATTCAGCCGATTGTAGCTACGTGATGTCCCAAACTGTATCGAAGTATAATAGCAACGGCGCGCGCGTGTGCGTGGTGTCAGGCTGACTCCCATACACGACCTGTTACATGGTACCCTCTGGAGACATGTGCACAATAGGAAGCAAAAGGTTACGTACGTCTCAACAGGGCATTTTGTATAGGTGACCACGGTCGTCTCCACAAGGTTATCACGAAATAGATATATTGATTTTACTCAAAAATAAGGAATTTCCAAGGTGTGTTGATCAGTCGCAAATTGAAGTATTTTATGTAAGGGATATTAAGTCCAAATGTCAGCCCAAGAAATTCGTTCTGGTTAAAAAAGGAGCATTTTGAAAGTACACGTTCAAACTTCAATACTTTAGTACAACAAAGAAATGACTACACAAGATACACATTTCAGTATGTATGGATTAATCCTAAAGGGGCCGGGTTATTTTGACCATCTCTCAGCCGGGGGGGGGGGGGCGGATTCCGCCCCCCCCCCCAAGATCTCGGCCATCGAGTGACGAACAATTTTGAAACTCAATACATGCATAGAGCAACTCTTCATTAACATACCCAAGAAATTTCATGACCAAAGGTTAAAGGGTTTTGGAATTATGGCTAATTAATTATTCATATGTATGAATGGCAATTCTGGTCTGTGTACACGACGTATATGGGCAAATTCAGTTTTCCCGGCGCATAGCGCCGGAAAAAAAATTCTCTGCGGGACAACCCCTCGTCCGATTTTTATGTTTTTGGTGTCAAAAGATGCGCAAAGCTCAAAGCTAAAAAGTCATACAAGCTTGGGTCGCGAAAAAAATTTTTTAATGGGTATCGCGGAAAAAGTCGAGGGGGGGGGCGGATTCCGCCCCCCCTGCCCTTTTAGGGTTAACCTAATAACAAACCAACTACAAACGGAAATTTCAAAAATGTGTCAGTCGACATGGTTTTGGAAATGACTTTATTTTATGTTGGTTTTCGACAGCATGCCAAAAGGAATAATTTCAAGGCGAGTTTAGTGATTTATCTGTAAACTAAGAAAATACTAATTTGGTGGGTCACTTTTTTGGATAGCTGCAATATGGTGCAACATATACCTTTAATCCAAACCTGTTGAACAGTCAACGTTTCAGGCAGTATGCTCTGCCCGTCGTCAAGGGTTCTGGGCGGGTTGAGAATTCTCTCCAAAACCGAATCAATTATGCACTATTAATGCTGAAATGAAAACGAATTTTAGCCTCGAACCTAATGTATAGCAGTTGGTAATAACTCTTTGGTGCTCAAGTAAATGATAGGCTTGTGAAAAGACAACTTTAATTTCATTCTTTTTAATATCTGAATGAACCGGTTGTTTGAAAACGGTTTTCATGTCAAGCCGTTGGAAAGGGAATGCCGCCAACGCTAGAGGAAAAGGCATCTAAAATCCTTTAAGGTTTTTGTGTTGAATAGGAAAGGGCGTAATTATACATGTCGCCACTACATTTTAAGTGTTAAATGGAATGGAGTTTGGCCGCCTTAAAAAGAGGTGGTTTTCTGGCTAAGAAAATAGCAAGAAAGAACCGGTTTTGTGTGAGCAAAATTCCAAAAAGTTGCCAAGTTTACATTGAGTCTGCTTGAGCATGGCGAGGAGACTTAATAAAAGCCAAAAAAATAACAAACGAATGCAGCTTAGAATAGATCTGTCCTATCTCGCCAAATAAGCAGACTATTGTCTGTCATAATTTCAGCTCGGTATGTATTTCTCTAGAAAAGTGTGTGGAAATTGCGTCTGCAGTGGCTTTTTTACTCGAAGCAAAGTAATTCACGCTCCGTTTATAATCATGTTGATTGTTTACCTTTCGACTTCAGTTTGACACTTGGGGACAAATAATTCATGACATTTCGTTTTTCAATTACCTTGTACATTACACACAGAACGCAATATGCTGCATTTTAAAACACCTTACCCCACTGCTGACAATCAGCCTACGTACTTTGCATGGTGATTATTGCCTTTTGTATTGACATCAAAGGGTATACCCAGTCGACTGTGAATGTAGGGGTCAGTTCACCAGATGTACAACCCCGCTGACAGTGCTCAAGTTCATAAATTTACTAACACCATTTTCGGATCCCGTTTCGGATACAACCCGTGTATCTTTAATGTGGAAAATGTGCTCCAGTAATCAGTAATAATCCTCCGCGACTTACCGTGCGCATCTGACTGTGAGCAGTCGCAGATCCGAGCACATAATCCCAGCAGTATTACTGTGAACGTCACGGACGCCATTTTGGAAACCATGTTATTTCGAGGCGGACACAAAATAATGTGGAATTTGGACTCGAAAGCGATTGACGTAGGCTACTCCAAAGAGAAACAGAACAACTTTTGTGCTGGAATTTAAGGACGAATTTAACAGTGGCGTATAAAGGTCAAGTTGATTGGGGTAGACGTGATACAGGGCGTTTGAGCGGGCAGTGACTAATTCTTCCCAACAAACTGTTATCAGCACAGCCAATTAATGAGTCCAATTTAAAAGCTTTGTGTACTCGTTCTGCGTGGTACCTTGTACCAGTTAAACAAGTCAAGTTTTAGGCTGTCTCTTAGATAACCTTTCACATGTAAGTTAATAATTCATCAATACTAAAAGGGCTATCGCATATGAGTCCAAATCCCCCCCCCCCCTTACAAAAAAAACACTGTAGGATGAATACAACATATTTCCAACGCAAAAGGCAACACAAATGGAGGAGTGGTCTTGGGAATCTGACGAGACCGCTTTTAATACAACAATTTTAATTTTTCTCATATATACATGTATTATACGCAAAAGAAGTTAATTCTATTAAGGTAAAACAAGTAAATCAAACATTGCTTTAACATTGGACTGGGGATCAATCCAATATAAAGGGGCAATTAAATTGTCATAACTTAACCAAACATGTCAAAATACACTGTATATATTAAATTTGTATCAAACGAATGTTAGTGTTAAACCAAATTAAATACAATGTCTGGGGCCCCCTTCAATGGCAAGAGCATTTGGCTAGTTTTGTTCAAAGCAACTTCCCCGTGACGAATTATCTAAGCAATAGCTGTCACAATGAGTCCGCCATTGCAGGGGGCCTTCTTGAGTGCACAGTGACGGTGTATTCAGACTGCTCTATGAGCTGCGTGCATGACCAAAAGAGGGCTCACTTTGCATTGTTAATAAGATGCAATTGTGAATTTGTCAAATGGGACTTACAAGTAAGCATGTGATAATGCTATCAATCGGTATTTGTCAAAACCACTGGTCTAAATGTAAATGAATCGAGATGGAGTCTCGGTAATACATATTATATTTACAATGAACCTAAGCGAATCAAGAAGAAAGACACGTCCCTATCTATTACGTAAATCGTAAGTTACACAACGTCTACATGTAAAAGCACATCCAAATGTAAGTTTAATAAAACGTACAAATTGAACATAAAATTTAAAAAATTCAAACATTCGTGGAAACAATTTGTGGTTGTTTTTCCTTTCTTTTTCAGGAAATTTCGATTTGTGTATTTGTTTTATTTATTTTTTTGGTAAAAAAAATACAATGTATATATATTCCCATGCGTACAAAAATGCATGGGAAATAGTTCAAATATTCGATATGGTCGGACAATCCAGGAAAATGATGGAAAATTTGAGAGAAAACCAAATTTGAAATCAATTACCACAGTATTTCAAAGAGTATAAGACACCCTAGAGTAACATCTGCATTTTGTCATATGTGTCTCCCTTGCTCCATGTACGGTCGAATAGGAAACTAGACTTGTTCTTCGTTTTCATCCGTAACCTGCGGGGCTTCGCGAGATGACACACAATCGTAAGCCGGTGGGGGGTCATCGTTATTTTTGCCAGCATTGGCTTCCAATTCTACATTCCAAAGGTGAAGATTGAGAAAAGCCGGATCAGTTATTTAGGCAAGCCCGTTCATTATGATTGTTGGAAACTGGAAAGCATTTCCGTTGACAGGGTTTTAAAATTTGATGCCATCAGATTAGCATATTTACGAGGATAATCAGTTGTAAAACTGTATTCATAAATACCTATGACAGTTTACCCATTCCTATTGGTTGAGAGCCTGTTACGTGACCGGTCTTAAACGGTTGATAACACATTGACTGGCTTTTCAATTGTCACATGAAATTTTTACTCCTATAAAATCCGGTCCCTTTTACACTTTTATCGGTTGATGAACATACAGTCTTCCATTAGGCACGCGCAATACTAGCAATGAGTCAGTATTTCAAAGTGCTAAGAATTAAATTCACACTACACTGACACAGCTGCGTTCTGTGTCACATCGCGCAGTGCCAATCTCCATATAAGGAGTTGCTTAGGACTACTCGCTAGAAGCACATACCATAACATAGCTAGAGGGATATGTTTCTGAAAGACGTGAAGTAAAATTCTTGAACACAATCGTTGGAAATTTATATTGTTTTACTTGTTTTTACTCTTTGACCAGAAGGGCATTTATCGATGGAAATAAGTTTGTGCTTGGCCGATTTTATACACCATGTTTAAGACGCGAGTCATTATCAGCGTCCAGTCTCCAATCCGGTCTCAAACATAGTGTTTCAAACCGGCCAAGCACACATGTATTCCCTTGTTAACCGATGTATTAAAGACATAAGAGGCGAAAGTGGGTCGATTTGGGTGGCCAGGATGGCCCTTCTTACCAACTGCTTGCACGTAGGTTGGAGGCGGGTCGTACGAAGGGTTGTATACTTCAACTGTCCTGATTTAACGAGAGTAAAAAACGACAAAATGCTCAAGTATCTGGACCCTAAAGTATCTGGATCCATCAATAAAAATTAAAAAGCCAACCAAAGCAAGCACCCCTTCCACCCATTCATCATATCTGACCAGAGGCGTTGCATCGGTGGGGGGAGGGAGGTTAAGGGGGTACCCCCCCCAACCCTATCCCACCCCACCCCGATATTTGCTCACTAGTTCCCTTTTCTCGGGCGTATTTTTGTTCACGAAAGTCCTGACCTTTATGAGTGCAATTTTTAGAACTTCACGCGATCGTTGGAGACAGGCAGCCTCGCGATAACCCAGATCGTGGTCAGCTTACCTAGCCAGTGACCCGTCACTGGAGACAGCATGTCTCACAAGGTAAGTGGCCACTTCTTAATTTTACACATACCTGACCCTTGTTGGGAATTTTCCACCATTGTATTTGAGCCACCCTGCCCTCAATTAACATTCAACTAACCACACTGGTCATTTATTCATGGTATCCTCTTGACCCCTAATAGCCATTAAAACCACAGAATTGCCCTGTGAAGATCAAGACTCAAATTAGGTTTTTGCCCTATACCGATGTTTAAACACTATACTCAGTGTGTTACCTCCCGAGTGAAAGTTGGAAAAAATCACTTGGGTGGGACTCGAACCCACGACCTCCTGCTTTCTAGTGCAGATGTCTTACCACTCGACCACCGAGCTAACGGGATCGGTTGGCTGGTGTGAATCTGATGTACATAGCAGCGGGTACCGCATAAACTATTATAAGATGGAATTTTTGCGTCGGGGTCATATAAATCAAATTAGGTTTTATATCGTCCCGTTAGTTCGGTGGTCGAGTGGTAAGACATGTGCACTAGAAAGCAGGAGGTCGGGTTCGAGTCCCACCCGAGTGATTTTTTCAAACTTTCACTCGGGAGGTAATACGCTGAGTATACAATGTTTAAACGTCGTTGAAGGGCAAAATCCTAATTTGATTTATATCACCCCGACGCAAAAATTCCATCTTATAATAAGACTGTTCCCTTTTTGTCAGCAGAGGCGATCAATGGCAATCCATGTGGACAGAGGCAATTGTATACAAGCCTATGTATTTGTGAACAAGCCCATTAGGTTTCCGCCAATATTGAGCAAGCGGCCTGACAAGTGACACCCCCTCTGGTGGATGTACCATGGTCCAAACTAGGATCAAGTGATAGATGACCTCGGGCATGCCTACCATGTGGCTGGGACACTATAAAGCAGAAATGTGAGTGGTCTTGATTCCATGCCGGCTGCGAAAAAGGTTTTAGCCATAGCCTGTCAATGACCAACTAGCTAGCTTATGAATCGGGCAGCCGCCCAATAAGCCAGCCAGCCGACCTATAGCCAGTGACCCATCATTGGAGGTATTAGTCTCATAAGCCAGCCATGCAGTTTGCAATTGTCACCGTGCCATTTTTCCCAAGATTCACTTGGAAAAAACAATAACGATGCCTCTCGAATCAACAACACTGATAACCATTCAAACTTCCCCCCTACAAGCGTGCTATCTATCGAGCTGGTATGGATGACGATCAATTTTTTTTTAATGTGGAGGCTAAACTACAAACAGTAGCACGTTAAGTTTCGAGGACTCGATATTCTGAAATGTACTTGAAAGTTGTTTACAAAATAACAAAAAAATGAGGAAACGTTTTGCCTAGGGAATGTGGGCAGTTATGCACTCTTCTGATAAGATGTAAAGTCATTGGACAAACTAGCAATTTTATTTCATAACCATGCAAACCATGCGTGATACTTTACACCTAAAAACTTTGCTCGCACACAACTCTTGGAAACAATTTCCAAAAAGAACACCACCCTTTTCCGATTAAACCATACCGTATTCTGTGTCACGTTTTAATTAATACACTAATTATCAAGTATTGTTCGTGTGGTAGACACTGTACCTGTTTGAAATAATCTTAACTTTTGTCTATGCAAATAAAATGGCATTTCATTACTTACGTATTTGGTTGTGGTGCAGTCCTCCGCACTTCATCTATAACACAAGGACAGATAAAAGGTTCCAATAACAATTTGGATTCACAAAGATGCGTGTGAGCCAGAATGTGTTTACCTTTTTTCGAGGGGAGGGGGCTCTTTCATCTGTTGGAAGTTGTGTACTGGCTTAGTTTTCTGCACCATTTACATTGGAAAGATTCATTTTTAACTTTTGATATCTCTTTCGAATAGAGAAACACTCCCCGACTATTGTTTTATTCCGAGTCACATTTTTCATGCATAATGATTCCATGAAAAAAATACTAAAACAAAGCGATATATTTCAATAATGGTCAGTACATGTTCCTTTTTTTATTGCACTTCAATGATTTTACGACTTTGAAATGAATTTTTCCTTTCATTTGACTTACCTTGAGGTTTACCGCTGCAGCACTTGCAGATGTAACACATTGCAATGGTCACTAGCAGGAGAATAATGGTCCCAGCCACGCACACAGCTATGATCACCACTTGGTTGCTGTTAGCATCACCTGTGGGACGGGTGGGCTGTGGAGTCGGTGTAACTTTGGAACATGGAAACAGTTTGTGAATGAAAGTGGAGAGAATGAGTAGATTTAATGTGACTGTAGGGCCAGTCCATTATTGTGGCATCCAAAGGTGTAACATGGTTGAGTCCCTGCTACTACTGATCGGTGTAATTTGCCATAAAAGTATCAGTACAATTGACTTCAAAGTACATTACGGACACACTCTCGCAAAATGTGGTCCGGGTGCTTTCTATACAAAAACCTCGTTGGCTCGGGATTTTTTGTACGTAAAACCTTATCAGTCAGCCGATCACGCTCAATTGACTTCGGCCAAACCGCAGTCCCATCATAAGAAATAAGTTAACAATGTTATCCGGACCATTTTTTCCGAGAGTGTGTCTGTAATGGTTGATGGGCTTTTAAAAAGAACTTTTGCAAATGGGAAAGACACTTTGGAAAAATCCAATCAGTTTGAATATGCTTCATGAATTTCTGAATAAACGAGCACATTTTTAACAGTATTTAATTACTATTATTTTTTTGGTGTGGTGGTGGTGGTGGGGGGGGTGGCTGGCTGGGGGGGGGGTGCCAGACAGAAGATATATCAGAATGGCGCAATAAGACCGACAGCGGGCGCAATAATTTTGATTAGGGTTTCAAAAATTTCTACGTGTCCGAGTCGTTAATTTGCACAAAAAGTGCCCTACAATTTTTTGTAAAAAACAAGACCGTCTAGTTTTAAAATCGGTGGAATCGTGCGAATATAGCCGAGGATCATCTCCCTAGCTTTTGGGCTAATATCTAAGAGCAGATTTGATAAAATTAGGGTCCAAAAATGGGTCCTATTTGCAGGAGAAAATGTAGGGATGCCACTGGTAACTTTGGCAGTATGCAGGCTCAGCATTACCGGCAGGCTTCAAGCATTACGGACACACTCTCGCAAAATGTGGTCCGGGTGCTTTCTATACAAAAACCTCGTTGGCTCGGGGTTTTGTACGTAAAACCTTATCAGTCAGCCGATCACGCTCAATTGACTTCGGCCAAACCGCAGTCCCATCATAAGAAATAAGTTAACAATGTTATCCGGACCATTTTTTCCGAGAGTGTGTCTGTAATGTAATTATTTATTTGTTTCTCAGGTAAACTTTGCTGCACATAATCACTCTTGGTGGAAGAAAATATAAAAGAATTTGTTCTGCAAATAAGCATTGGTTTTTATACATATTGCCAATTGAGGACTGTTCTCACTTGTGTAGACCTACATGTCCGCGATTAGAACAGAAGTTTTATGGTTTTCCCAATAGACATGTGTACACAAACGCACATCATAACTTACCAATCGTAACATGAGACCAGTCACCGCACACGTCGTCCCGACAGTATAGACAGTGGAAGTGGTCTGTGGGATACGGGCTGGAGTACAGGAACTCCCCGTCATGCTGAATGCAGTCCAGGTCTGGCCTCAGACTCACCCATTCCCCTTGAGCTTCGTCATATACCTCAAGTCGTACGCAGATTCCGGCGTCGTCGTCCTGTGGTATACCGGTGATGACAAACTTACCTTGTGCCTGGATGTATGACACAGTTATACCTGAGAGAGGATGTAATTATTATAAAGACGTTACTTTGAACATGTTTTAGTCTACATCTATTGACATTCTTACGGTACAGTGTACTAACGTTATTATATTATTCTCAGTAATTATTTCTAAAAGGGACCCAATGAAATTCTACGTCTTAGTCTACGCAAAGGTTTCCCTAAGGTACCATTTTCTGTAGTAATAATGACTTCTTACATTATTTGCTTAAAAGTGTTGTGTCTGAAATTTGGATAAAAGAGCATACTGGCACACAAACAGGTCAAGCACTGAGATCTACATTATACACTTACCCATTTCATCCGGATCTCCAGCTGCAACGTCACAAAATGGAAGAAAAAAATGTAAGTAAGCTCGAAGGTCAGTAGCAGATTGCATTCGTTTATAGCTGATGGCAAGAAGTTTGGTACATTCAAAAAAATAATGTTTTGGGGACGGGAGGGGGGGGGGCGTATCCTCACCCAAACTTACCATAGGGGCCCGGCACTGTTCAAACATTGTGTGCGTATACACATGTATTAACGGAGGTTGGTTGGTTGGTTGGTGGGTTGGTTGGTTGGTGGGTTGGTGGGTTGGTGGGTTGGTGGGTTGGTGGGTTGGTGGGTTGGTGGGTTGGTGGGTTGGTGGGTTAATTGATTGGTGGGTTGGTGAGTTGGTGGGTGGGTTGTTGGGTTTGTTTTTGTTGCTGTTGTTGCTGTTGTTGCTGTTGTTGCTGTTGTTGCTGTTGTTGCTGCTGTTGCTGCTGTTGCTGCTGTTGCTGCTGTTGCTGCTGTTGCTGCTGTTGCTGCTGTTGCTGCTGTTGCTGCTGTTGCTGCTGTTGCTGCTGTTGCTGCTGTTGCTGCTGTTGCTGCTGTTGCTGCTGTTGTTGCTGTTGTTGCTGTTGTTGTTGCTACTGTTGTTGTTGTTGTTGGTGTTGGTGGTGTTGGTGGTGTTGGTGGTGTTGGTGGTGTTGGTGGTGTTGGTGGTGTTGGTGGTGTTGGTGGTGTTGGTGGTGTTGTTGTTGTTGCTGCTGCTGTCGTTGTTGTCGTTGTTGTCGTTGTTGTCGTTGTTGTCGTTGTTGTCGTTGTTGTCGTTGTTGTCGTTGTTGTCATTGTTGTCGTTGTTGTCGTTTGCATTTATTTATTTGAAGTCTCTATGGGTATATAATAAATAATACCAGGACATCAAGAATATGTTTCAATGTCTCAAAAATTCTGTGAACACTGTAATTTAAAAACACTTCCGGGTGCCAGGTCTTCTATGATAACATTAAAAGCTACCAGTGACTTTCCCATTGTGGACTTGTGGCTACTCACGGTTTGTGCGCACGGTCAGAGTCGCATAAGGACTGGAGCCATGCTTGTTGGTTGCATACACTGCTACTTGGTAGAGTGTGTCCGGTTGCAGGTCACTGTACGATAGCCCATTATAATCAGGCCTGTTTGATATCCAGTCAAGTGGGTCGAACTCATCAGGAATCTTGCGAATGTTGGTAAAAAAATTCTCTAACTCCTCGCCTCCGTCGTATCTCGACTCCCATATGACCCAGATGAATGAGTCTGTTACATACTCCACCTGAAGTTCCTTTGGGGGTTCAGGATCTCCTAGATTTACACATAAAAAAGAATACAAAATTATTCTTACCTTCGGTTAAACCATACGAACATTTGCTTGTAATTCAACTTCATTTGCTTGTAATTCAAAAAAATTAAAAGGGCCATTCGATAAAATCGTTTAATGCAATCCTTGTGTCCAAATTTCGTTTTGCCATGTGAAAGACATTTTAGTGCCTTTTTGGTTTTTATGGCAATGCAAGTGCAAATGTCAATATTCATGAACAAATGTGTGATGTAATTTCAGGAAGAAACCTTTGTCGTTGTATTTTCTGTGTGTACACGGCAGCTGTAAGACAATGAGCAAGCATTTCTCACAAATATTTTCAATAAGGAATTTTTGGGTTTCACATTTTGAACAGAAAAACACCTTAACTGAACAGTGTTTTCTTAAAATGACATAACAGCACCCGCATGGTTTTTGGACGTTGAAAGAATGAAAAAAATAAGATTTTTAATAAAGAAATCAAAAGGGTGTCAAATAATTTCTATAAGAGGGGTAGAACATTCCTACGCCAGTAGTTATGATTACGCCCTCTTGCGTTCGTGACCTTCGACCTGCTTGTCTTTGTTCTATCGTTTATCGCTCAATGTGCGCCTCCCCTTTGTTCATTAAAGTCTCCCATTATACCCGATAAGTCGATTACAGTTGCATTTATAGTGTGTGTGTTGGATTGAACTCTCGTCCCTACTGGCGCTAAGTAAACTTCATTTCGTGGACCCTCGAAAGAAAATAGTTAGAAACCTAATCTGATGAAGTTTCAGCTCAGTGGATAGGCTTATCATACTTTTGAAGAAACAACGAGTAACCATGAGCAACTTTTTGACCACGAAACGCAAATTTCTTCCTCACGCGCTTTATTTTTCTAAATCAGTCAAATTAATCGTTTGTACACTACTCCTTTTATTCAAAGAACGATTTTTGATAATAAATTGGTCACTTTTTGAGTAAATTCCAGCCGTCCTATACCATAAAAAGTTACTAGACAAAACCAGCAGCTCAGTAAACGAATCATTAACAAATACAATGTACAATATTGTAGCCGATTGAACCGCGGGTTCCTACACACAAAGATGAATGACTGTTCCGAGCTCTAGTACAAAATGCACTGAACGGACTTACCTTAATTGGTAGGACGCGTGATAACGGGCCTTAATACCCGTTTGGCGTGTTAATCGGGAATGTTCGAGGTGTGTCATTTTGTGCCATTGATAGTGTTGACAAGGTTTTCTGGTATCGGGAAATGACCCAGAGAATGGTTATTTTGATTTGAACAGTGTCACATTGGCCCTTAAAACTATCGGGTCCAGTAGGACCTAGAGACCGGGCAACATCTGACACTTGCCTTTTGAGATTTCAAAGGAGAGGGATTATAGCAAATTGTCCCGTGGGTAGTTTGAAATCTGAAACGCAAGAACGGGACTGTTTGTTGTTGGTTTTTGGCACTAGAGGCACTTTTAGTGAGATATGAAAAAAATTTACACAACGCGGATTTCAAAATGTTATCCAAAACGGCGAATGTTACCTTTAAGAATCAGGAATACGTATTGAAATGTGAGAACTTTACTTTTAAACAAGCTCCCAACACATGCAAAATGACCAGTTCGAGCAGTGTGTGATGCTAAACACTTCTTTCCAAAATGTCCTTGGAAAACAAGAATAAGTCTAGGCAAACACGATTCAGCTATGTACCTGTTTCTTTCAGCTGTATTTCATGCTCGTCAAATGTACCGATGCTGCTGGCAGCCCTACACCTGTACATGCCATAATCGGTGCTGCTCTCCACTGCAGCGAAGACCACTTGACTAATGACACGATATCCAAGCACCCCATCTCCTGATATGGTATCTTCAAGTGAAATCCGGTCAGGTATTGTGTCGTTGGTTATGATGGTGTCGTTTGGACCGTACCAAGTGACATTGGGGAGGGGATTGCCTTGGATGATGCATTCTAAGGTTGCTGTGTAGTTGTCGTTCGCCCCAATCCACGTTCTATCCTTATTGCTGATTTCAGGGCCATCTGTGACATACATAAGGTGGAAAATAAGACAATATTGTCCACGATCGGGTAAAAGTACTCAGTTGGAATCGTTGACAAAACTAATAGGGTTCTTCTCAAAGTATAAACGGAGCACGTTATCAGACTTTCAAAATAGAGGGTGACTCAAAAAGAAAGTTACCAAATTAATGATTTTTTTTTGTTAAAAAGCAATCGAATTCGAAACATCGATGAATTGTATCTAAAAGAGCATCTTCTCCACTCATCTAAAAAAAAAAAAGAATTACTGAAATTGATCCATGCTAAAGGAGTTATGAACGTTTTACTAAAATAACCAATTTGTATAGCTGTCCACGGAATGCCATTAAAAGCTAATGAGCTGGTTGAGTATTACAGATTAAACGACCACGTTTCATTGTACTCAAAAGGCATTCATTGGTACGTAGAACGGTCAATGATCAGTGGTAAATGCCGAGTTGTGTTATCTTTTTTTATTGAAAAAGACATAACTTGAGAATAGAGTATGCAAATTACGTGAAATTTTTACAGTGAAAAGCCAATAAGATGTACTTTCTCACTATTTTTTGTGGGGTAAAATGGAGTTTGTCAAATATTTTAACAATATTTTTCAAATTGGGTAACCACTGGCACCTTGCAAGTGGTCTTGTATCCCTTAAAGGACAAGTTGTTATGCTTGCGATTTCAATGAATATAGACAAAACTAAAGATGTATAGGTCTAGAATAGCGGTATCAAATCAACTTCCCACTTCCCAAATAGGTGGATAGTTGTGGATGTGGTGAAGAGATGGTTGTATACTCACAGAAGACTACATTAACAGTCCAATCAGACAATCGATTCGGGTTCCAATCGTCTGACCATATACTATTCCCAGCACATCGGTACCAACCAGACTGGTTCCTGAATACGCCTTTAAAAGTCAAGTCGTTGCTGTCCGTAGTGAACATCGGTTCGGTGAGAGTGGTCGATATTTCCCGATCCAGACTGTGCCGCCACTCAATCCATCCCGAAAGGCCGATGTCGAAGGCACAGGTGAGCGTGACGTCATCCCCCTCCAGAACAGGTCCCGATGGGGTCTTGGTCACAAAAAGCTCCCAAACTGCCCAAGTTATATAAAAACATCAAAATCGCAATCAAGTCTCACAGGAATCTTTATCGAAAAATCCTTTAATATCATCTTAGTTTTCAGTAGGTTTTTCGTCGCATCTTACAGGATACTGTAGACGTTATGTATAGAGGAGGGCAATGCCTTTGTTTCGTCTTGATATGCATGAGTCTTTTGTGCATTCCTCGAATATAGAATAACAAAGGATGTCCTCTACCAATAAGGTCTGTAGAGGTGGTCCTAGTGACCATACTTACCGTAAGCAACGTAAGAATGCCGACCGCACAGTTTGTCCCGGCAGAGGTAATATCGCATGTTGTCAAAATACGGGCCGGCGGCGAAGTATTCCAAATCGCCGTCACTCTGAATGCAGTCCAGATCTGGCCTCAGACTAACATCAAACACGTTTTCCAGGTCCCGTCCCGCTAGTCGTAGGCAGGCTCTGTTGTCTTTGTCAGCTCTGGGTATGCCGGTTACGACAATTCTCCCTTTTGACTTGGTGTATGACACTGTTATACCTGAGGGCGATCCAAGGCAAATGATTGTAATTGTAATGGCCATTCTATAAATTTTAGCGTTCCTTTTTTCTCCCGTCATTGTAACATGAGAAGCCTATGCTTTCATAATTCTGACGCACTCCCTGGGCAGATGACCTTAAAGAGTGATAAAATATTTCAACCTACCTTGCAAACATTTTTTTTAAATTAACAACAAAGTTTATTTTAATCATTAGCAGCTGTTAATTTTTAAAAAAAATCTATACCTAATTTACAGAGAGATAGACAGGCATGCACACGAAAAGCAAAGCAAAACAACTAGAGGTTGTAGGAACAACCACATGGTGTTGGGCCATGGGATACCGCAAACTTTGCCACATACATCAACTAATGCACGTTTAAATCCATGTTTGACTTTTCAACAAGCCGCCATAGGGCGCTCTAACATTTGATGACGTCACCTGTAAAAAAAATTTGTACAGTACTGCCTAGGCAGACACTCGAATCGTTGAAAGCAAGTTCGCATCTTTCGCCAATTTCAATTAATAAGGCACTTCCGGTTTTAACCGGAAGGAAGGGTCACGTGATTTTGCACTTCAAACCAAAAGTGAAGACCCTGCAATATTGTATCGATTGCCATAAACAAAATCAAATCTGTAGCAGTTGATTTTATGTTGATTTTCAAAAATTAAATATGGAAATATTTATTTGCTTGTACTGTGACAATTGATGACATCATTGTGACGTCATCGCCAGAAACCTCCAGAGCTATATTAACTCTGTTATATATAGCCACATCTTGATTATATCTCTCACGGTTGAGTTTTTAGCAATTGTTTAAGATTTAAAGGTCTTTTCTTTATAACTTCCGGTCTGACGTATGACGTCATCCTTCTTTTTTTCGCGCACAGGTCTTTTCTGCATTAAGTTCATCATGTATGTTAGGTTTGAAGCGATAACCGCAAATTTCGTCACAGGCATCAAGTGGAAATGCGTTTTTAACGTTTTTTAACCTGCCGCTAGAGGGCGCTTCAACACTTTATGGCATCACCCATTATTTTTTTTTGAAGGTTAATCCAGGCAGACACTTAAATCGTTAAAAGCAATTTCATATCTTTTTCCACTTTTGAATTATTAGGCACTTCTGGTTTCGACCGTAAGGAAGGATCACGTGATTTTACGCGCAAGGGATCAAATGAAGATCATGTATTACCAAGTCGATTCCCGCAAATTTCAGGTTCCGGTCACTCACGGTCGATTTTATATGGAATTTCAAAGATTAAATTTAGGATGAAGGATGGAGGATGAAGGATGGAGGATGGAGGATGGAGGTTGAAGGATGGAGGATGGAGGATGGAGGATGGAGGATGGAGGATGGAGGGTTGTAGGATGGAGGATGGAGGATGGAGGATGGAGGATGGAGGATGGAGGATGGAGGGTTGAAGGATGGAGGATGGAGGATGGAGGATGGAGGATGAAAGATGGAGGTTGAAGGATGGAGGAAGAGAATGGAGGATGGAGGTTGAAGGATGGAGGACGGAGGATGAAAGATGGAGGTTGAAGGATGGAGGATGGAGAATGGAGGATGGCGGTTGAAGGATGGAGGATGGAGGATGGAGGATGAAGAATCGAAGATGGAGGATGGAGGATGGAGGATGAAGGATGAAGGATGGAGGATGAAGGATCGTGGATGGAGGATGGAGGATGGAGGATGGAGGATGGTGGATGGGGGATGGAGGATGATAGATGGAGGATGGTGGATGGAGGATGAAGGATGGAGTATGGAGGATGGAGGATGGAGGATGGAGGATGGAGGATGGAGGATGGAGGTTGAAGGATGGAGGATGGACGATGGACGATGGAGGATGAAAGATGGAGGTTGAAGGATGGAGGAAGAGAATGGAGGATGGAGGTTGAAGGATGGAGGATGGAGGATGGAGGATGAAGGATCGAAGATGGAGGATGGAGGATGGAGGATGAAGGATGAAGGATGGAGGATGAAGGATGGAGGATGGAGGATGGAGGATGGAGGATGGAGTATAGAGGCTGGAGAATGGAGGATGGAGGATGAAGGATGGAGGATGGAGGATGGAGGATGGAGGATGGAGGATGGAGGATGGAGGATGGAGGATGGAGGATGGAGGATGGAGGATGGAGGATGGAGGATGGAGGATGGAGGATGGAGGTTGAAGGATGGAGGACGGAGGATGAAAGATGGAGGTTGAAGGATGGAGGATGGAGAATGGAGGATGGCGGTTGAAGGATGGAGGATGGAGGATGGAGGATGAAGGATCGAAGATGGAGGATGGAGGATGGAGGATGAAGGATGAAGGATGGAGGATGAAGGATCGTGGATGGAGGATGGAGGATGGAGGATGGAGGATGGTGGATGGGGGATGGAGGATGATAGATGGAGGATGGTGGATGGAGGTTGAAGGATGGAGGATGGAGGATGGAGGATGGAGGATGGAGGTGGAGGATGGAGGATGGAGGATGGAGGATGAAGGATGGAGGATGGAGGATAAAGGATGAAGGATGGAGGATGGAGGATGGAGGTGGAGGATGGAGAATGGAGGTTGGAGGATGAAGGATGAAGGATGGAGGAAGGAGGATGGAGGATGGAGGATGGAGGAAAGAGTATGGAGGATTGTGGATGGAGGATGGAGGATGGAGGATGGAGGATGGAGGATGGTGGATGGAGGATGGAGGTTGGAGGATGGAGGATGGAGGTGGAGGATGGAGAATGGAGGATGGAGGATGGAGGATGGAGGTTGGAGGATGGAGGATAGAGTATGGAGGAGTGTGGATGGAGGATGGAGGATGGAGGATGGAGGATGGAGGATGGTGGATGGAGGATGGAGGTTGGAGGATAGAGGATGGAGGATGGAGGATGGAGAATGGAGGATGGAGGATGGAGGATGGAGGATGGAGGATGGAGGATAGAGTATGGAGGATTGTGGATGGAGGATGGAGGATGGAGGATGGAGGATGGAGGATGGTGGATGGAGGATGGAGGATGGAGGATGGAGGATGGAGGATGGAGGATGGAGGTTGAAGGATGGAGGATGGAGGATGGAGGATGGAGGATGGAGGATGGAGGATGGGGGTTGGAGGATGGAGGATAGAGTATGGAGGATTGTGGATGGAGGATGGAGGATGGAGGATGAAGGATGGAGGCTGGAGGATGGTGGATGGGGTATGGAGGATGGAGGATGGAGGATTGAGGATGGAGGATGGAGGATGAAGGATGAAGGATGGAGGATGGAGGATGGAGGATGGAGGATGGAGGATGGAGGATGGAGGTTGGAGGATGGAGGATGGAGGATGGAGGATGGAGGATGGAGGATGGAGGATGGAAGATAAAGGATGGAGGCTGGAGGATGGTGGATGGGGTATGGAGGATGGTGGATGGAGGATGGAGGATCGAAGATGGAGGATGGAGGATGAAGGATGGAGGATGGAGGACAGAGGATGGAGGTTGGAGGCTGGAGGATGGAGGATGGAGGATGGAGGATGGAGGATGGAGGATGGAGGTGGAGGATGGAGGATGGAGGATGGAGGATGAAGGATGGAGGATGGAGGATGGAGGATGGAGGATGGAGGATGGAGGATGGAGGTGGAGGATGGAGAATGGAGGATGGAGGATGAAGGATGAAGGATGGAGGAAGGAGGATGGAGGATGGAGGATGGAGGATGGAGGATGGAGGATGGAGGATGGAGGATGGAGGATGGAGGTGGAGGATGGAGGATGAAGGATGAAGGATGGAGGAAGGAGGATGGAGGATGGAGGATGGAGGATAGAGTATGGAGGATTGTGGATGGAGGATGGAGGATGGAGGATGGAGGATGGAGGATGGTGGATGGAGGATGGAGGTTGGAGGATGGAGGATGGAGGATGGAGGATGGAGCATGAAGGATGGAGAATGGAGGTTGGAGGATTGAGGATGGTGGATGGAGGATGGAGGATGGAGGATAGAGTATGGAGGATTGTGGATGGAGGATGGAGGATGGAGGATGGAGGATGGAGGATGGAGGATGGAGGATGGAGGATGGAGGATGGAGGATGGAGGATGGAGGTGGAGGATGGAGAATGGAGGATGGAGGATGAAGGATGAAGGATGGAGAATGGAGGATGGAGGATGGAGGATGGAGGATAGAGTATGGAGGATTGTGGATGGAGGATGGAGGATGGAGGATGGAGGATGGAGGATGGTGGATGGAGGATGGAGGTTGGAGGATGGAGGATGGAGGATGGAGGATGGAGCATGAAGGATGGAGAATGGAGGATGGAGGATGGAGGATGGAGGATGGAGGATGGAGGATGGAGGTTGGAGGATGGAGGATAGAGTATGGAGGACTGTGGATGGAGGATTGTGGATGGAGGATGGAGGATGGAGGATGAAGGCTGGAGGCTGGAGGATGGTGGATGGGGTATGGAGGATGGAGGATGGAGGATTGAGGATGGAGGATGGAGGATGGAGGATGAAGGATGGAGGATGGAGGATGGAGGATGGAGGATGGAGGATGGAGGATGGAGGTTGGAGGATGGAGGATTGAGGATGGAGGATGGAGGATGGAGGATGGAGGATGGAGGATGGAGGATGGAGGATGGTGGATGGAGGATGGAGGTTGGAGGATGGAGGATGGAGGTGGAGGATGGAGAATGGAGGATGGAGGATGGAGGATGGAGGTTGGAGGATGGAGGATAGAGTATGGAGGATTGTGGATGGAGGATGGAGGATGGAGGATGGAGGATGGAGGATGGTGGATGGAGGATGGAGGTTGGAGGATAGAGGATGGAGGATGGAGGATGGAGAATGGAGGATGGAGGATGGAGGATGGAAGATGGAGGATGGAGGATAGAGTATGGAGGATTGTGGATGGAGGATGGAGGATGGAGGATGGAGGATGGAGGATGGTGGATGGAGGATGGAGGTTGGAGGATGGAGGATGGAGGATGGAGGATGGAGCATGAAGGATGGAGAATGGAGGATGGAGGATGGAGGATGGAGGATGGAGGA